CGAAAAAAAAAAACGTGCTAACATGATCGTGTAAGTAATAAATAAATTTCATGACATCGACCGTAAAGAGCCGTACAATTAATGATCTTAAATAAACGCTAACACCTTTTTATATTTCAATCAAAGTCTGTCAAAAGCAGAAATCAATGATTAAAAAAGGAAATAGAGCAGTTTTCCATTGTGTCAGAAAAGCCAAAACCAAAGTAATCCCAGCGACCAATCAAGAACAAAGATGTACATCATCGTTAGCCAATGAGAACTCAAAGCGAAAACAAGCAAACTGCTTAAAGCTTTGGAAAACGCGGAAGACCAAGAGCGATCGTTTTTAGTTTTGCACCTGACTGGTTGAGAAGATGGCGCACGTTTTCTGGACCAATCATAGAGCTAAGTTTAGTAAAAACCAAAGCAATACAGGGTTACTTTCGACACTCAATTGAAAATTGCTCTACTATGTAAAAACTTAATTGTGTTTGGCTCTCTTTCCTTGAGTATATCCTTCCCAACGCATTGCCGTTGTCTTGAGGATGGGATCTGGGTCGATATTCGCCAAGACATACAATAGACTAACATGTAGCGTATGATAATCCCAACGCGCCAAATTGGGCGCGACGCGCATGGTCATGTGACGGAGGTCGTAAAAGCTCCCGGATCCACTGTCATATAGAGGTAGCATTGCTTTTAAAGAGCGCATGCCCTGATCGAACAACTCTGCTGCCTCGGCACCTTGTTGAGGACCCGCAGTAAGCTTCAAGTCGTAGAGCCCGAGCAACGAGTAAATAAAACCGTTTAAGACTAGCGTTGATGGCGATGTGGGGTATTCCTCGTACCAGTGATACTGGTTCATGAACGTGTTTAAAACTCCTTTGTCTACAGCCTTGACTTTGAACAGTTTAGTGGCTCGGAGAGCTGCTCTTAAGTAGGCCGGGTTTTTCGTGAAGAGATAAGCTCTGGTCAACAGAGACATGCCTTGCCCCTGCCCCATGGCTGAATACCAGTCAGGCAACAGAGTGACGCCGTCAATCACTTTACGCTTTACTGTGATTGGCCAGCTACCAAGGTTATTTTGATAACGTAAGAACCAGTTTGCCGCGGCCAGAAACGAATGCTCATGAGCTGAGCGCATTAATGTGATATTATCAATTAAACCCTTCCCGTGAAGTAAAATGCTTTGTACTTCTGTCAACGTCATTTTACCCTTTCTAGCATTCTTTTTATCAGGAAACTTTATTCCTTTTCTTAAATCCGTGTCTAAATTCCGCGCAATTCTTCTCCAGCCTTTCCAGTGTCCCACACCATAAAACACCTCCTTGCCGTTGGACGAAAGAAAAGCGTTGTTGGATGTGTAATGCACTGTGAACAAATCAGCGTTGTCTAGTTCTAATACAATGGAAACACGAACTTCGCCTCGGAGGAGGAGGTCGAAGTTTAAAACAAAATCCTTTGTTGCACTGTCCACGCTCAGGGAAATGCCTTCTCCCGTCAAACCTAAAATAATCAGAAAATCTATTTAATTATTTACCACACGAGATTAACTTGAAAGAAGTAAAACCTCCCCTGAAAAGTGTTTCTGTGACAGTAAAGTGTGTTGCCCAAGAATTCACTACGTGACCAGGCCAGTGAAAAAGCTTTAAGCGCAAGATCCCGATTTCCATACTAACATCATGTGGAAGCTGTAGTTAACTCAAAATTCGGGTAACCAGCAGGAAGAGGCGTAATTTCATCGCTCATTCAAGCGCGCGTGAGACGTTCGCACCTTCCGGGCTCTCGTATGACCCTTGCCGCCACTTACCTGAGAAAAACGCGCAAAAGTGACGCCTGTTAACCCGTTACAATAGTTAACTAATGAAGACATTGCGGCTTGATCGAACACCCGCTGAACTCACTCAATCTAATAAGATTTCTGCACACTACCGTTTGGAGTTAATTGTTAACCCCCTATATGAAACAGAATGAGTTATCACCAGCTTTAGGAATCTGGCCGTTTCAGGTGGATAGAATAACACTTATGGCAATTTATCACTACAATTTAAGGTTACTTTCAATCTTCGCGGGTGTCCTTCGGGAAAAAAATTTGTACGTTTGTAGTTTCACTAAAATCATAGCAAACTATACATCAGAAGAAAGCTTGATAAATGCAGTTTGCGATAAACATATAATTTAAGCGAGTTTTCCTTTAAGGAGGTGTCAGGAGCCGGTAAAGCGTGTGAAACGACCGAGGGTTCTTCTATTGAATTTATCGGGTACCAGATGTCGTAGCACAACCAAAATGGCTACACAGTCTTATTCACAAGGCTTCAATCAACATGAAATGTCTGGCTTTCTCGATATTCGGATTGGTTATCTAGATATCGACATCTTAAGTTGGAGTAGCTGAAAATATGCGAGGCGTGTTGCGTAAATGGACGCCACGGGACAAATATTTAAAATATCAAAATTTCCCGACAGGCTTTCATTTGTCATTGTTTCAGGAATAATTTGGCGAAATTTGACCAAATTTGACCATAATTGGTTAAATCTAAATACCCTGTAACACAAAGTGGATGTATTCCTGCCAAAATCAAATACCAGAGATTTTAGCTCATAAAGGTTCGTAAATAACTCGCGCCACGCCAGAAGATTATCTCGCCTCCTGAAACCACAAACCAATGGAACAACAGAACTTCCTGTCATCAATGACGATGGATCATGATTTCCCGGGAAAAGTAACCCATTGCAGACACGTTGTTTATATCTCCATCGCTCAGTGCAGCGTTGAGGAGGACGAGACAAAAAATGGGCAGAAAAGCTTGAGGTAAAGGAAAATACCGCGGCAAAGATGACAAAACCGGAAAATGTGCTGTGAGGCAAGACAACGAATTGACAGACAGCTTTCAAACTTACAATTCGAGGCGATTTTTCATGTTTTTGTATCGAGGCTGGTACTTTGGAGATTTAAACTTTTTTTCATTTTGGAAACTTAGGGCAAATATGTGAACTCAGTTTAGTCAAATAAAAGAAAAAAATGATTTTTTTTCGGTCTCCGAAGGTGGGCAGTCACCATAAAACGTTTTAAGATCATAATCTTAAACTCCAATCGGATAAAAATGAAATTCAAATTAATTGAAAGTGATTTGCCTAATAAAG